TTGTTTCTGTATTCTTGCGTTTCTCGAATATGTTCTCTATTTTTTTTTTGACAGATATCCATTAAAATTCTCATTAATATAGAATTCGAGCATATTAGAAATAATTAAAACTTCAGTACTTCATTATCATCAAAATCCATATGGCATGGCAGAATTGAGAATAGGCATAAACAAGATTCTCGTATCAACTTAGCATTTGAACCACTAACAAACCTTATTGCATATATAAGCCGCATTCTTCGCAACTGGGGATTGCAAACAGGTTCTTATTTAAAACGCAGCTAAGTGTTTCCCAGCCGAAAGTTCACGATGAAGGTCTAGCACGCGCTGCCTTATGATTTGGCTTGGACGATTTTAAAAGTGACTGTTCTAATTGAATATGAGTTCATTTGTTTTCTCGTACATCAACTTGATTATTTGTTTATGATAAATTCTTAATTTAACAGTACTTTTTAAGTGAATAGTATTTATCAATATTTTAAGCAGTTCCTTTTGTACTTTTTACAAGCTGCAACTTTGGAAGTCACTGACTCATTTTCAAGATTCTTCAGACACTGAGAATATCTCAAAGTACCTTTGCGTCTTTTCTTTCTTTGTTTCTTTTTCATCAATTAAATCAATTAAAGTATTAAGAGGACATGTTTATTAATTTATCAATTTCTATTGGAAAACGGAGGTACTTGTATATTTATACAAGGAAAAAAAGGACCAGTGCTTAACTATCTTAACTGCTGAAAATTTATTATGCCTTGATGGACCCGAATCTCGATTGATTTCTTACAGATCAAATCGTAATGTCTTCATAAAATATACTTATTGCGGCAAGACGTTGAAACTTATAAAATTTTCACCAAACTGTTATATATGTTTTAAAATGATGAACCACGCATTTACTTGCAACAACACCAATATCTGTCAAATACAAAGAACAGCATTTTATTTTCCATATGTGAAAAACAAAATACATAGAGTCTAAAATGACGCCTAGCGTGGTTTAACATGCAGGAATACGAAAAGCGTACTACTAATACATAACGAAATTGAAAACGTCACACCCACATTAATTCAAGTACATGCAACATCTAATTTTGTCGAAGACTCAATTAATTAATTACCTGATTGATTCTGCACCCGTCCTCCCTCTCCATTATTCTCGTTTTGATGAGCAGCATGCCTTGCCCCGGGGCTGTGACCTGGGTCTGTAGGTCGAAAATCAGTTTTAGACCCTTCAGCCAAAGAATATTTAACATCTGGAGGACTCTGAATTCCCACCTTTGCTTTTATATCTTCATTTTCCACTCCAAATTTTCGATGACCAACCCCGGGACTGTTTCCTGGTGGTGTTGGTCGATAAGCACTTACGCCTCCATTTGTATCCTTAGAGATTGCATTAACGTGGTCATTTGGTGAGACAGGTGAGTCCACATACAGCTCTGCTGATGTAGGAACATTACTATAAAAGGTCGTGTCTTTGTGGATCCGAAAGTGTCGGTTCAATGCCTTTATCTGCCTTCCCTGAGTCATATCAACTTCATGGCAAACAATTAGTATGAGAACTGCAGCTAAATATTTGAGAATGGCCTTACCCATAAGTAAAGAATTGAAACAAGCTTCAAGGTTTTGTTTGAGTCGTAGTGGGAAAGGCTTAGGGTTTAGGGAAATAGAAGTGAATCCAGATGATGTTTTGACAAGTTCTGGGATCTTAGGGTATTTATAACCTCGGTTGAGTACTATATAAATGTCCTGTTCATATTTTTAAGTTATAACTAATCATGTCAGTTGACTAAATGTGTGGAGTGTATCCCCCCTCCAAGTTAATGTGGAACGTTTGTGAAATCTAGCCTCCACTAAGACTGGTCTCTCATGCGAGTGAGTTTTACGTTTTTCATAATTATATGGGAAATCTTCCCAACGATTGACTATTTTATACTTCATTTATATCTCTCTTTTCATCTGCACCTCTTATTCAGTTGTGCTGGCCTGTCTTTCTTTGTTTGGTGATTCGATATGGAAGTAAGGAATATCTGATCTTTAATTAGGCAGTCACAAACTCTCAAAGTCACAAGTAAGACACAGACAAGTGTTAATTATGGACATATTTAGTTAAACTGAGGGTGGAAGCTTGAAGGCCGGAGCTCAAATCGTCCTTAGCGGCATAGTAGCCTTTCATGGTGGGGAGAAGCCATTGAGAAATTAAGTTCTGATAATATCTAATGAAGAATAGCAGATCGAGTAGTGCATCATCAAAATGGACCCAAGAGCATGGAGATTCTATCTCCTGCACCTTCTCCACTTACAGAGGTGTACTATTAATGTTATATATAAGTGAATGGCTTCCGTTCAATCTCCAAAATCTTTATCCTTGCCTAGCCGCAAACTCAAGGGTAAAGGAAAACATTTCTATATACTATAGGGCTTCTTGTAATGATATTTTTGAAGATTTGTTACGACTCTATATGATTTATGTTCTGGTAGGGCCGAAATCACTTCCTATGATTTCGAAAGGATGGATTATATAAGAGGCGAGATTTGACCTAGTTTCTTTAGCCGTGATGCTATCAAGATAACCCATATGGGGCATGGAATATTTATATATGAGGAAAATTAAAACCAAAGACTTTTGAATTTACAGTGAAGGACACTGTTTATAAACATGACATTCCAAATTTAGAGCCACTCAAAAATATTATCTTCGGTTCTAATTATAAGATCTTGTTTGACTGGAACTAGTAAAAAAGTTTACAAAGTCAAGCTAAGGTCCTTGTATTTAGATATAATTATCACAATTATCCGTCCTTATTTAGTACGTCAACAACAAAGAAGCACTAATATTATATTCACTACAAAAAAAACATGAAAAATTCCGTCACTAATCCCTCACAAATTCTGCTACTAAAATTAGCAACGGAATTTAGTGACAGAAAATTTCTATCGCTAAATTAGTGAATGATTAGTGACAGAATTTTATTCCACCACTAACTTAGAGATGGATTAGTGATGGAATAATTCTATCACAAGTTCATCACTAATTTTGTTTTAAATGATTAGTGACGAAAATTAGTCATGGAAAAATTCCATCACTAATTTTAGTCACTAAGTCTCATTTTGTGATGGAAATTATGATGGCATTTTTTGTCATTGATTTCTGTCACAATTTCGTCATTAATCTGTCACAAAAATATATAATAATTATTTTTTAACTTATTATTAAAATAAAAATATAATATATCATAATTTTTAAATAATATATTATATAAAAATTAAAAAAATACAAATATTATAAAAGAAAATAAAAATAAAAATAAATAATATACTTATTATTTTGTTAAATATTTGAATAGAAATATAAATTACTAGAAATTTTTTACTAAAATATAAAAATTAAATTCAAATAACTAATAATATATTAAATTATATAGTATATATTAAATTATGTATATAATATTTATTATATATATTTGTATTTGTTATTAGAAATATTATATATTTATTTATTTTTGTAAAAGAATTTCGCAAGTGTTTCTCAACTCAACTGGCAAAGGTTTCAGCATGCGCGTAGGTGGTCTCAAGTTTGAACCAATACTTCTCCACAAATTAGCTGAATTTGTGACGTGGCAATGATGTGACAGCTCATAATGATGGATACAAGCCGATGACATGGATGCTATGATGACGTGGCTGCATGGGAGAGAGGAGGAGTTGAGGTGGCATCCAGTGATGGACACATAGCGATGATGTGGACAAAGAGATGATGTGGCAACATGGGGGAGAGAGAGGAGTTGTGAGGTGGCAACTATTGATGACGTGGCGGCTCATAGTGATGGACACATGGTAATGATGTGGTATTTTAAATTTAAAAAATAAAAAAAATTTAGCAACAGATTAGTGATGGAAATTTTCATCACTAATTTGTGATGGAATTCCGTTACCAATCCATCATTATTTTGTGATAGAATTTTTATAGACAGAATTTTGAATTCCGTTACTAATTATTTAGTGACGGAAAAAATTCAATTTCATTGCTAATTTGATGTTTTTTTTGTGGTGATTGATAATCATATAATTATATCATGGGACATTAATAAGTGTATTAGACATATGATATGCGGGTGGAGAGAAAAACAATCATATGATAGTGCTAAAAAATATTAACTTTCACTCCTATCTTTTTCATATGAATCACAAAATTAAAAAAAAAAAAAAATTAAAGCTACTCATGCCGTACAAAAAGAATACGCCTTTGTCAAAAGTCAAGTCAAAAGCGACATGGCCACGTGCTTGTGTATAGGATCCCCTTGGCCTGCCACTTGATGAACTTATTAATTAGAGTTAATCATCAATGATGTGAATTTAATTTCTATAAAATTAATTTTTATACTCAAAATAAGAAGAAAATGGTGTGGCGTAACATGCATCGGGGCAAAGTCAAATGTTGTCACATGTCACCAAGCTTCATCACTGTCACTCACATACCTTCGTTTTTTATTATTATTTTTAAAACCAGAAGCCAAGTGCGCCAGGTTGGTTTGTCTTTTTATGGCCAGTAGAGCTGTTCCGCTATATTGAACGAGCGGTGTACGTTTAATTAAAATCGGATCTTTCATTAAAAGCTTCAAAACTTAATTGAAAAAAAAAAATTAAAGCAGCGGGGGCCAGGCAACATGAAGAATCTTTCGGGTCCCTTTCATTCATTGAATCTCAACGGCGTGAAGAGCAAAAACAAAATCTCAACGGTATAATGATTGTCAAATTAACTAATTATACTAGCTTCGAGGGCTAAAGTATAAAACACTGTCCAAATATATTTCCCTGATCATCAATTATATATGATACCACCTAAATTCTTGATTATTAAAAAGCCAGTCAACTTCAGGATGTTAGCTAGAACAAACCAAGCTAACATAGTCTGATATTCAAAGTTTTAGTCCAGGTAAGGCTACTCATTCTCAACTCATTAACGGGCTATGTTAGGGCACTCATCTTTAAATATCAGATCATGGATAACTAGGAAAGTCGTCACTAAACATACCTTAATGGATTGTGGTCAGATTCTATTTCTGATACACAGGATCCTCTAACGAGGCAAGTGTAGAGCATACTCGGAATTTCTGATGATAGAAGAAAAGTATTATAAGTGAGGACCTTCAGAAGAAGAGAGGAATTTAAAGAGAATTTATGAAGAACGCACACTAGTATTATACAAGAGAGGTATTACAACTCCTCCTGCCTGTAACTATGGGCAAAACGTGGTTTATATAGAAAATCTCGGTCATAACATGACAAAACCTAATAGTAAAGATTTTAAACACCATTATTACGACATGATATAAAGGCAAAGATGCATTTAATGATTACAACAAGACAAACAACTTTAATTATTACAACAAGACGAATTACTTTAATAAAGATAAAGATAAAGTAGACATGTGACATAAAGTAGATTCCTGGTGGGTCCTGCTTATCTTTTAATATGATACAAAGTAAATTCCTTGATGATTATGTTCCCCTAGTCTTTGTAGATGGGTTCATGACTTAGGGACAGGTTCATGACGTCTTCTGGGTCAGAGTTGTCAGCATCAGAGTCAGATCCCTGTCGTGTAGTGTGAAGGATGTCTTCTCCTTGTGGCCTGTTCTTCTTCAAACTTTGTGAGCAGGGCCTCATAATCATCATCTTGATTAGGGTCTTGGGATTCTCCTACAAGGAATGGAATTTGTGACTGAAGACTTAGCTGAGGAAAATAGAGTCCTTCAGGTTGAGTGAGCTAAACTTGTGAGTCCTCTTGATCAGGATTTTGGGATGCTTCTGCTGGAAAGGTATTTGTTGGGATTGGAGGTCTAACATCATTCATGATAAAGCTTCTCTAAAATTCTTCAAGAGTTGAACAGCTGGCCCCATGTGCCGAACTAGGAGGATTGGAGGAAAAGGTCCAAGAGAAAGACATGCAGTGTCTTCTCCAGTGTCTGGTTCATTAAGCGAGCTAATGTCTTTCCAAGTTTCTCCATTAATAACTTTTCATCTTTGGGCCATAAGGGAGTAGTAATCCAGAGAGTTAGATGAATATCTATGTAAAGTCCTCCATCAGCATTTTTCTCATAACACCTGTAAAAAGTAAACAAACAGAAAAGTTTCTTTTGTTTCGAGGATGATGCATTCCAGATATTATGATTATCAAGGATTTTTCAAAGTTTTCCTCTCTGATAGGGAAGAGGAGCAAGCATCTCAAAAAGAGTGACAAGAGGAGAATTTTGGTTTCTTGAATCATTTAGATGGTGGTATACGGATAAGACTGAGAAAGCTATGGCACAGGTGTAATTGACTAAGATGGACCAAATATGCCATAAAAGTTCTTCCGGCATAGGTCCTTTGATAATGGGAATGGTGAGGCATGGAGCATCAGCATCAAAGTGCTGAGGATATGGGTGAATTCTAGTATTCATAAGAAGAAGGCGGAGCTAGTAAAACATAGTGCTTCTGGCAAGGTTTTGGACATCTGAAGGGGTTTCAAGACGGGATCCAAAAGGAAAAATAGTGGTTCTCATTCTGTGAGGCATTTCTGGTTCAGAGATAGTTAGAATGAAAAGAGGTTGGTGTGTGGAGAGTGACAAAAGCTTTAGAGGTTGAGGAGTCTTCTGAGGTCTTGAGAGGTAGGCTACAATGGTGTTCTAGTGAACTTTGAGATGATGGACAGTGAATTTATAGTGAGAAAACCAGTCCTTCCATCAGAGTAATTGGCTATCTGGCAAGATCTTTCTCTTGGGATTAAGCATCTTGGGAAAAGACGTATTGTTCATTTCTACTCTAAATTGATAAGGACTGAGATGAAAGCTAAACTTCTCAATTGCTTTTTTGACTACAAGAACCTCCTTATAGGTAGCATGATAATGTTTTTCTAACTCCTTGAATTGTTCGCTTGCATGTTCACAATAGAATCTGTTTCCATTTATCTCTTCAAGGAGGACAACTCCCTAAAAATCATCACTGGCATTAATCTGGAGGATTCATAATCCTTTACCAGGAATCTTTAAAGGAGGTAGATGCTGAGAAATTCTTTTGAGAATTTGGACAGCTGAAGTCTGGTTTGTTCCCCATGCAGGAGGATTTTTTTTCAAAAGCTTGGACAGCTGGCTAGTATGATTAGACACATGAGGGATAAAATCCCTAATATAATTGATAATCCCCAAAAATTGCTGAATTTGTTTGGTTGTGAGATTCTCATATAGAAACTTGAGAAATTCTTTTGCAATATGTGGTCCAGGATAATACTAACCATTTTTAAAATTCATTTCAAGAAATTCTATGCTTCTGACACCTATTTCTCCTTTCTTTACCGACAACATGATCCTATATTTTTCAATTATTTTGCCAAATTGGGTTAATAAAAGTTTATGGGAATCTTTATCATTTGAGAAAAGCAAAAGGCCATCTATATAGATGAGAAGGTTGTCAGAAATAGGTTCAAAAATTCTGGTCATGGCCTTTTGGAATAGTGATGGGATGACTTTAAGCCCAAGTGGCATAACAGTCCATTGATATTAGGCATTTGGAATATAAAAAGCAGTTTTAGGGCGATCTTCTAGGTGAATACCCAATTGTCAAAAACCCACTTTAAGATCAAACTTGGAAAAGATCTTGGCATCTTTAAGATGGACTGCAAGTGAACCGGGCTTTGGTAAAGGGAATTTGTCATCTTGAAGAAAGATATTGAGAGGTTTATAATCAATAACTAACCTTTTATTCCCTCTTTTGATTTCTGATCTTTTTTCAACATCGAATGCTTGACAAGCCCAATCATATTTTTTTGGTTCAATAAGGCCTTATTTGAGAAGTGCAGCACATTCTTCCTTAGCAAGTTTAAGATCTTCTGGGTTCATTCCTAGATGAGAAGCCTTTGTGGGATTGATATCTTTACTCTTCTTGAAGGGAAGTTTTATGAAAAACTCTTGATTTTTTCATAATAAAAATGGATGAGAGAATTGTTGATGACTATCAACACAAAACTTAAGAAGATGATCTTGAATGCCTTCATATCATGGTGGTGCTTGTTGTATTTTAAACAAACTAGGAATTTTAGTATATGCATTAAAGAAATTTTTATATTTAATTCCTTTAGAAAGTACTTGAAGATTCTTAGTGTGATAATAAGCATCAAATCCAATAAGGAGATCTTTTCCAGGTAGATCACTTCTGAGAACTTTAATCCATAAAACACATCCTGGAAAAAATTGAATACCAATCTTTCTCCATGAAATCCATTCAATCTTGAATAAGTTTAAGTCTACAGTGACAAAATATTGATCAAAAGGAATCTATTCTTTAGGAGGAAGAATGTCAGGTTTCATGATAGTTCTGCAAGCTCCAGTATCAATGAAACCAATAACAGGAATGGGTTTTTCATATTTTCCTGGAAGGATATAGATTTTGACATTTGGTTTAGGGATGGTTTTATTATGTTCTGGCTGAGAAGAAAAAGATCCAAGGGATCTTGGAGAAGACAGATTTTGTTGCAAGGTATAAATAGGTTGTTCAAAGGAGTATAAATATCCTTGGTGATTGGGATGAGGATTCGGAATCAGTTTCTTCATCTTCAGAGAAAGAAAGAACATATTGTTTTTCTTTATCTTCAGCATCTTGTTCTTCAATAACATATTCAATATCTTCATCCTCATTGATCATTAGAACAATCTGCAAGTACTGCAACATCTTCACATCTTTTTTGTCTTGTTAGAACAATTTTTTGCAAAATGTCCTTTCTTTCTGCATATATAGCATCTATTAGACTTCTTTGAATAGGGCTTGTGCTTCTTAAAATACCTCAAAAAAGGTTTTTTTAGATCTTCTAGAATATGAGCCCTTTTGGTATCTGAAGTGACGATAATGAGATTTTCTCTTGGTAGAACAAGAGCAACCTTTATGGTCTTTGCACTTTATCTTCATATAAGGTTTCTTGTAAGCCTGCTCCACTTTTGATTGATCTTTCAGCATTCCTTTGATTTGAAGAACTTTTCTTGCTCATAGAGTTTATCTATAATTGCTAATGTTAGCTGGTAAATTTCTTCTATAGAAATGTCAGTCATATTTCTATGGAGTGCATTGATAGCTCTATGAAGCTCTGGTCATAGTTCACCTAGAAGAGAGGCAATAAAAGTATGTCTGAGGTTGACATCATTGGCTCCTCCGAGCCTATAATATTTCTCAGACATTCTTTGGAAATACTTCTGCAGGTCTCTTTTGTCTAAAGAACAACATTTTATCTCAAAGTATTCTTGATTATGTCTTTCATCAATGATATGAAAATCACTAATAAATTCTTTATGAATCAGTCCCAAGAAAGTTCCTACATTATCGACCCTAACTGCTGTAATTTTCTGATAGTCACTGAGGCTTTGAAACCATTCTCTTAATGTTTCTATTAATCTTGAGAGAAATTCTGTGAGAACTTCCTCAAGATTTGTATCATGTCGGGCAAACTGCAAATCAATCCATGCTCCAAAGTCATAGAGTCTATCTCTCCATTTTTCTGGAGGAAGGTCATCAAAAGTAAACCATAGACCTGTAGTTGGCTTATAATCTGTTCTTTTTGGCTCAGATGTATTTGGGACAACCGATTCTCCGTCAGAGGGATCTTCAACTGTAGGATCTGGTTGGACCATTGCTACTTTGAAAATATCAGCATGATATGTCTCAGAGTCAGAGCTAGAATTATATTCAGTAGAAAAGTTGGATTCAGATTCTGAGCTATCAACTGATGATAATTGATCTTTATTCAAGGATTGGAGAGTAGCTATGGTTTTGTTTAGATCAACAACTTCTTTTTTCTTTTATTTGTCTGGACAGAAGTTTGTTTTGGTAGAGATGATGGTGGAATTCTAATTATAATTCCTTAAGAGGATGGTGTTTCTTCAGTGGGTTTAGGATGTGAGGGTGATGGTTGAAAAGGGTTTTTAGATGAAGGAAAATGAGGTGGTCTTACTGGAGGTCTAGGAAGAAGATTTGGTTGTACTTGATGGAAGGGTTGGTTGGGTTTCCTTAACTGTCTTAAAATGGGATAAGACATTTTGAAAACCTTACTATAATCATACTCTCTTGGATAAGAGACAAGTGATGTTGGATATTGGAAACTGGAAGGGTAAGATGGATAAAGGTCATAAATGGTTTGTGAATGATCCTTTGCAATGTCTAGCCCGATCCTTTGTAAATCCTTTTAAATTTGTGACAGTTCTTGCTCCTTTCTGGTAAGTTCTGGTCCAATGTATCATTTTTCAGTAAACCACTTCAAATCTGTATCCAATTGATAAGCCTGAGAAGACAAGGTCACATAAAGTTGTTTGACCTTATCAGAGACTTGATCTAGTCTGCTTGCTAGAGTATCAATTTTGAGAGTTAGCAAATCGAGCTTTGAGTCAATCTTTGTCAAGGTTCTGTTCTGACCGATTGCATTTTAGGTCTGCTAGTTAAGAAATTCTTCTGCTACTGAGACTGGTCTAGCTTCACTAGTAGGAGAAATCTCTGTTGGGATTGAGAAAGGTCTTGCTGAAACCTTTGTTTCTCTG